ATAAAGACCAAAGGAAGTTTGGTGGAGAAAAAAAAAAAATTCCACAAAATACCATATCCTCAGGCTTCCTTTCAAGAAGCCAAGATGATCAAAATAGTGAAAAAATATTTGACAGTTCACATTACTTAAATTGAAAATTTTTACTGAGGTTTTCAATCCTTGTCTTTGATGATAAGAGATACAATACACCATGTTCATTGTAAACCTTAAAATGTATCCTCTTCTTTCTAGGATGAATAATTGAAGGTTCTCTTCATGCCTTTGGTCTCTCGAAGTGCTTCAACTGCCTTTTCAAGAACCTTAATCTAGGAGTTATTTGGGGGGCTAGATATTCCACTTAAACAAGTTTAATTTGTTTTTCCTTCCTCCAAGTATAGTTGCCAGGCCTCTCTCCACAAGGTGAGAGGCAGAGGAGGAGATGGTTACATATGTGATATAACTAATAGGTTCCAGTTAATTGGGTGCTACTGTAATTCGAATTACTGTAGCCAAATTTCTGTCTAAATTTAGGTGCTTCACAAAGTGAAATACAGGGATTTTTGCTTGGACACATTAAAGTAAAAAAATGCATAAATATTTAGAGTATTAAATGGTTGAGAGAATTATCCATTTAATTTAAAAATTATTGAATACTTTTCCTCTCCATCTTGTTTTATTTACTTATATCGTTTGTTATAACCACGTCTGAGACAGAGAATCTAATCTATTAAAGGAGAAAACGTGTGATGAAATAGGTTATGCAACCAAGCCCCAGCTACATTTCCCCATTTTGTGCACTCACTGATGGGTTTCTTGTGTGTGTGTTTGTATGTGTGTGTGAGAGCATGCACACATGTATGTGTATTTAAATGGTTGCCACTGTTATTATCACAACACAAGGTATGCAAACCTCTCTTTCATCTCCCTTACAACAGTACATCCACACATTCTGATCCACACCCTGCATCATGTCATTCAAAAATAACAGTCGATTCAAAGATAAATGTATTTGCTATTACTTAGTCAAGTTAAACTTTTAGAGACATCTTTTAATGATTTTTTTTAAAATGCTTTGGGGAGGGTTGGCAGCAGAAGAAAGTTTGTTCTTTCAAGTTAGGAAAATGAGCCCAGTCATGCCAGCTAGACAGACACAACAAGGACCTAAATGAAGAAGCTATGAAGAAGCTATACATAAATGGATTTTTTTTTCACAGAATAATCTAATGCTCTAGTCAGTCTCTAAACATTTATTAGGATTTATTGCATATACAGAAGTTATTTGAAGGAATCCGGTTCTCTCTAATCATTACCCTCTGCTCCTGCTTTTTTAGGAGCAGCTATAAATTCAAGAAGAGGTGGAAAATCGGCAGACTGCCAACCAAATTCAACCCACAGACATATGTTGTTGGGCCTGAACAATGTTTTGGAATGTTTTGAATCAATTTCCAATTGAAAAATGAGGGTTGTTACTTTTAAAAAAACAGAAAAGGATGTCTATATGTCTTCTCTTGAAAATTCATAAAATGTGGCAAACTGATCCAGGTATGTATGGTAAGAGACAGCCCTCGGTGGACAGCTTCTACATCCTTCAGACAAGGCATCACATAGACATCCGCTTCTCTACAGGTCCTCTGTTACCCACTTATCTTGTATAGATATCCCGACTGGCCTGGAGACATTCCTGACTGTGGCTCGTAGTGTCAATCACCCCTAGGAACATTGCTCCTCTGATGTATGGGTTGAATGGTGATCGCGCTGCATATTAAGTCAATATTATTTTCAGTATTTCATTATTTTTAAATCTAAGCTGGTAATATTGCAAATGAAGAGCGGAACCAGGAGACTGCATTTGCATTCGCAGTTGTACTACAGCTTTAGAAAGAGGATCGTCAAACATTAGCATTACTTCATTTATTCTTACAATTTTCTCAACATGACATTAGTTACAACGAGTAGGGTATTGTGCTGTGCTCTTTGTTCTTGCTAAGCAAGTTCCCCTTTTCCTCCCTCTCTTTTCTCTGCCTTCTTTACTGTTTCTATTCTATTTAGGCAGATAATTACATCCTGCTTTATATTTGGTTTCTGTTCTCTATTTGAGCTGTGTGTCTCTTCTGCCTAAATTGACTATGGGCTCCTTAAAGTCAGACACCATATTTGTCAGTGTTGTTGCTCTGTATTGTACTTAGGACATTGTAGACATTTGGTCCCATGCCTTCCTCTCATTAATTCAATGCCCTAATACCAATTGCTTTCAGAATTAGGACTGAAATTGGTATATTCATCCAGCACTGTCTGAAATTCCCTGCCTTGAACTCCCACAGGCCATAAGCATTTCCAGTATGTTCAAGTTTGCCACCATGATTAGAATGGCTGTGACTCCAAGTCCCAAGTGTTGTTGGATTCCTGTGTTTCCTGCTTACCTCTCCACATCTAAAGCTGCCAGAAGTATGCATGATACAGCTCATCATGGTCAGGAGAAGTCAGATCACTGCATTTCACCTTCCCCCACCCCTGCCCCAGAATGTGTACACTCTGCACATCTGCCATGCTGACTGGTCTCCAGATTTTTTGTCAAGCTGGTTTCCCACCCTGAACCTACTGCACACTTGCTAATCCCCTTTGCTAATGCCAGACTTCAAACCTAAAGCTCAGTGCCAGCTGGCCATAGGATACAGATACAGCAGGCTCTTTGTGGACAGCACCACAGCTGCTTATCTCCCCAGCATTTGTCGGCACATGGATTCCCCTCTGTCACTCTTGCTCTCAGGGTAGACGCACTTCAAAATTGCTTTCAAAATTAGGACTGAGTTGGGATATTCACTCAAGCTACATATACGGAATCCTGAGTTGGTTTCCCCAAAGGAAAGTGAAACAAAAGAAAGAAAGAAAGAAAGAAAAAAGACGAAAGACTTCTTAACTGGGTTAGCAACCTACACTCTGGACTTCCTAGTTTCTTTTTATATGTTTCCTTCTCAGATTCGTTTTTCTAGGACCCTAGTAGATCTGTCTTGTGGATCATCTACCTTATCGCCTTACCACTCCATGAAAAAAATTAGATTTAAAATAAAAGTGCACCAAGAGAATTCTACTTTCTTTTCTCTCCTCGTGTCCACCGTTTTTCTTTGCTTCATTTTCATTTCAGGCCTAAGAGTCAACGACCTACCTGTTTTTGAATTGTTTTACGTGATAAATGTTGATACTTCATAATTAAAGGGTATTTTTGGTGAGGGCATATCTTGAGCTGCTTGAAGGAAAATTTCCATATCAACCAAAAATTGGTAAACAAACAAGAAAAGAGTTATCTCTTCTTCCCTTTGCCCACACAGCTATGCTATACTCCCCCACACAGCTGTATTGAGAAAATGAAACTAATAGCAAGAAATTGCTTTTGATGAGTTTCATAATTTTATCATAATACTTAGAATCGAAATAAACCAAAATTATCCTAGCATGATTTTTACATCATAGTGAAGAAAAAAAAAGTCACTCTTTGATTCAAGACCTGCTAAAACAATTCCTAATTCTACTCTTACCACCACATTTAACCTTTGTAAAGTGATTTGCTATTTGCCTCATGCAGGGTAAACATTTTTAAATACATCATTTCATTTTTTTTCTTTGGGAGAAATCTCACCATTTTACAGATGAGCCAACTCAGACTCACAAAGATTAAGTAACTTGCCCAAAATAATATATAGTATCTAGCAAGTGGTAGGGCTCAGAGTTGAATTTTATTTTTTCTGACTTCCCAGCTTGTGCTTTTAATACCTATTCTATCTCTGTAAGAAAGAAAACAGTTCCGGACTAGAATTTGAGAAAAAGTAATGTTTTAATGGTTATACCTGAAATGTGTTCTAACCCTTCTGTGTCCTCCCACAATTCAATTTCCCCATGCTTCATTGCCTTTTTCTATGAAGTCTGCTAAAAGCTCCCACTTTCTCATTGACTTTCTAGAATTATCAAGTAAAATAACGTATGCAAAATGACTTTTAAAACTGTAAATAGAATACAAATAGATGATAGACATTCTTACTTGTATTACTCGAACCCAACTATCACCATAAAGCCTTAAAAGACATTCATAAGAAGTAAAATAAAGAGGCAAGAGAAATAGCAATATAAAAGCATGAGACTCTTTTGCCATAATCTAGATAAGACTCAATAGATGACCAATTAGTGACCATGACAATATGTGCAAATGGAAAGAAAGGAATAAATGCTGTTTGAATATGGCAATTGATTGGATGTATGGAATAAGTGGTATGGAATACATGATATGAATATCATGTCACTTAATAATAAATATGACTTCAGGAGTAGAGATGTAATCAAAATTGGAAGGAAGGTGAGAATAACCCTTGGGAGAGGCTATGGAGTTAATATGGGACATAATCAGTTTAACCTGCTGATGGGACATCACAGAGGAAGTATCAAGTGACAACTAGAAATAAGGGAAAATTTTGAACGAGACACCAAGGCTAAAGATAGAAATTTAAGGACCATATTTCAGGGATGAAATTGAAATAATAAGAATGTCAAAAGAGAGGCCAAAAACAAGATGGTTTACAGCCGTGGCATCCATTAGAAATATAATATGAGCCACACATGTAGTTTAAAAATTTCCTGTAGCCACATTGGAAAAGTTAAATGAGATAGATGAAATTAATATTAATAATTTTATTTAGCCCAATACTTCAAAATGTAATCAATTGGATATGTAATCAATTGAGCATGATTAAAATCCAAAATATTCATTAAATATTTTACATTTTCTTTATTTGTACGATATCTTCAAAATCTGGTGTTTATTTTACACTTAATTTATACTAGCCCTTCTTCAAGTGCTCAATAGTCCCCTGTGGCTAGTTGCTACCATATTGGATAGGTGGATCTAAGAAGGAATTTTTGAGAATTAAGGGTCAGGAGGAGACATAGAATCCAGAGAAGACCAGAAAAAGAGAAATAGGAAAGACACCTGCAGTATGGCAAAAACCAAGGCAAAATAACGTTTTCTTCCTCACCTGTTTTACAGCGCCTCTGCATAGCCAATATATGCAGAGAAGAAACAACAGGTTTCCTACAGACGGCATTGTTCTAGACATCAAACAAAGTAGGATTCTTTTAGAGCCTTTTAGACTCTAGGGCCTCATGAATAAAGTTCAGCAATGCTTAACTGCTAATACTTAACAGGATTCAAAATTACAGCATGGCATACTGAAAATAACATGGACTTTGCATTACGCAGATCTGTCTACAAATCATAACCTAGCCTACCAAATAGCTTTGTAAATTTGTGTATTTAATCTCTTAACCTTAGCTTCCTTATCTTTAAAATGGGGATACAAACCCCTTTACATGATTTTTGTGGTTACCAAACACAATTAGGTATGTAAAATCCTTGTCCCATAGTCTACACAGAGTAAGTCATAGCTATGATGGTAATTATTAAGAATCTCACTCTAATAATTTATAATGATGAATTTCTCAAGCAACTGTAAACATCTTGAGAATAAAGTAATATTGTCTTGTTTTGGTAACACTATAGTACTTACCACAGTGCTTAAGACACCACTGAGGTAATCACCATATATTTTTTCCTTTAATGTTCTACTTTAGGAGAACCGTCAAAGTATGAATAGGTGATATTATACAGAAGCTCAGATTACTTGATTTCCCCAGTGCATTTAGCAGAGAGCTGAATTTGGGTTCCATTGCTCAGTTTTTAGTCTTTAAAATTCTAACATGAAATTAACTAAAGCAGAAAGATAAATGAACAGAAACAGAAGTTTCCCTTGACTCAGCACCCAATTTCCTGAGCATTCTACCTTCCATAGCTCTTTTAAAAAGATGTCCTGTTTTGACTCTTTTAGGAAATGGATTTAAAGTGAACATAAAATTAGTCAATTTTAATACCACAATTTAGTAAAATTGCTTAAAATTTAAATACTTAGAGGTAGTTGCTGTTTCTCATCAGTTTATGGCAATATGTTTTCAACTGGTGGGTTATTTGTTTCATTTTTCAGAAGCATATAATGGATACAGAATTCTAACCCAAACTTTCATCACTGACAACTTACTAAAACTATACCATATATATAGTACATATAGTGTCATTTATTTGAAATATATTTCTAGCTTCTCTTCTCCCAAATTACCCTATTTTTTAGACCAGGAAAAGTTACACATCTCCAGATGGTCTTCCTTGATTCTATAGCCCAAAGTCAATCTTTAGGGCATGCATCCTTTGACTAAACAAATATTTATTGATGTTATCATATGCCTACCCTTTGTTCTAGGTTCCAGGTATTTAGCAGTAAAAAGACAGGCAAGGTCAATACTCTCATGGACCATTCTAAGGTGAAAATAGCTACTAAATGCTGAAAAATAAATAATAAATACCATATCCAAACTAATATAAAGGAAAACAAAAGCAGAGTAATGAGATAAAGAGGGCCTTGGAGGAGATTGAATTTAATTTGAAGTATAATAGAAAATAATTTGGAATATTATAGTAGAAGAGTTTGTATGGTTGAAGTCTTAAAAAGGCCACTCTGTCTATCCTTGGTCAATGACTATTGTGGGGAAGACAGAAGAAGGGAGGAGAGTCAGGAGAATTCTGCAGTAACAGCAATGGAAGTAGAAAGAAGTGATTGAATTCAGGATATTCTGATGTACCTATACCTCTAGCTTAATGTCTAATTCATTTCCATGAAATACAAAGCTATTCAATAAGAGCCTAAGATTTCCAATAATCACTTCTAAGTATAAAAATATATCAAAAGAACCACAAAAAAGGGTTCAAGTACATCACAGCAACAATTTGAAATAAAACAAATTGAAAATAAAATGTAACATAAAAGAAGTTTTTATTTATTACATTTCCTTTTTCCATATCTTTTTCTTCACTAATATTTTTAAGGATTGGGAGACTTATGGTTTTTGTGCCCTCAAAGAATACTTAATAATATATTACAGCACAGGAGTCACCTGGGGGGCCCAAATATAAAGCCTGACTAAAAGGTTGTAAACGTTGCCACCTCTTCAACCTTCTTGAATTAATTCATACATATACAAACCAACATTGTTTCATATGCTTCTTGATATTCTCTCTAACTTGAAACCGGAGAGTAAATTGGTGTGTGTGCTTTTGTCTAAAGTTTGATGTTCATCCAAGTGTCACGTTGTGCTGTATTCACTTAGCAAGATTTTTTGAGAAAAGTCAGTCTATCCGCAACCAAAAATATCAAAAATAAAAGAACTATTAGCCTGAAAAAAAAAAAAAGGTATAACACCTTAAGGACCATTTATGGAGAAAAGTCACGTGAACAGTATAATGAAAACTAAATTTATATTTTACAGGCTCTATTTATTGCTGATAAATTAGATGAAACTTTGGGTAGGAAGTAGTAGGGAAAGAGTAGAATCAGGGGATAATTCTTAGACTCTTGTCCTGAAAAGAGAGATGAATATAGTGTCATTAACTAAGGTGGAGACAAAAAGTAAAGAAGCAAGTTGGGTTGGGGACAGGTGGGCAGTAATTAGGAGATTTGCTTTGAGTACTGTATACTCATTTTGATGTCTCTATGAGACATTCAAGTGAAGATGATGAATGGGCAATTGTATTTACAGTTTTATTGCTAAGAGAAAAGGTTTGGTCTTGAAATCTAATTAGTATATCAATAACATTTAAGGTCATGAAACTAAATAAAATCACAAAGGAATAAACCTAGAAGACAAGTAGAAATCCAAAGACTGATCTCAGGACATTCCAACATTTAGAGAGCTGGATGATGAGGTAGTGTTAGCAAAGGACACAGAAAGAGCATTCAGGTAGTTTGGAGGAAAACTGGAAGAAAAACATTTCTCAGAAGTCAAATGAAAAGAGGGTTTCAAGAGGGAAGGAGTGTTCGATAGCATCAAATGCAGCTCAGACAGTGAATAATATAAAAATACATAAATGGCTATTAGATTTGGCAAAATGGAGACCTTTGGGATTCTGTCAATGGTATATTCTATAATATTTCTATGACACTGGACTTATATGTATAATTGATATTTAGATCCTTATCTTTGTCTACCTCTTACCTACTGAACTGTTTTCATTGGCTAAGTAGCATATCTAATTATTTGTGTCTCCAGCAATTCTTAGGACAACATAGTATACTTAGAGTTCAAAATTATTTATGGAGTTGAATTGAATTGGACTAATAACCAGTGAAAGAGAAAAAATAAGTTGCAAAATCCACAATCGTATTGTGTGTTACTAACAGGGACAAGTTTTAAAATAAGATATTCCGTCCAGTTTTTGACACGTAGAAAATACTTTCATCAGATGAACTTTCCTACCATTTAAGCAAAGATAGAAACTATGAAGCATGTATTCCCTCAAATTCCTCTCCTCACTGGATCTTATTTATATTCAATTAATCTACATTCACGCTCATTAAAGTGCTCTCTCTTCTGTTTAAGGTTAATTTATCTACTTGAGCTAGCAATTATACCCATCTGTCTTAGTCTCCTCTGAGACCTTGTTGGGTTTCTTTATTTTCATTCCTTTTCTCCTCCTTCACTTGAACGTTCATACTTTATCACCCTTTTAAGCTACTGTCTATTTCAAGCTTTAGAAAAGGAATACAGCATTTAGGCTGGGCGCAGGGGCTCACACCTGTAATCCCAGCACTTTGGGAGGCCGAGGTGGGCGGATCGCGAGGTCAGGAGATCAAGACTATCCTGGCTAACACGGTGACACTCCGTCTATACTCAAAATACCAAAAGTAACATAAAAGAAGTTTTTATTTATTACATTTCCTCCCAGCTACTCGGGAGACTGAGGCAGGAGAATGCCGTGAACCCGGGAGGGGGAGCTTGCAGTGAGTGGAGATCGCACTAGTGCACTCCAGCCTGGGCGACAGAGAGAGACTCGGTCTCAAAAAAAGAAAAGAAAAGGAATACAGCAATTTATATATGCTATCTCTAGTTCTTCGCTTCCTTTGACATCTCACTCCAAGGCTTGAGTGTCACTAAAGTCACTAATGTTTTTGTCTTTAGTTATACAGCTGAGAAAGAATACGTTTTCTTATAAGGAAAGCAAATCGACCTTTAATCTTTTAAAAACAAAACCAATTTTAACCATAATAGCAGAAATACCAATAACACTGTGTTGAGATATAGTTGTTAGAGACTGGCAAAACCTGAAAAGCTCAGCAACGCAATCCCGTGAAAAAACAATGGAGCTTCTGTACGCATTCTCATTAAGTGCTGGTGGAAGTTCAAAAAGTTACCAATAACATGAAGGACAGTTTGGCAACAACTATCAAAATTATTTTATCCTTTGTCTCATAAATGTTATTTTTGGAAATTTGTTATAGATAGATAGATTAGATAGATAGATAGATAGATAGATAGATAGATAGACAGACAGATAGATAGATTTTCAAATAGAAACAATTACACCGACATTCACTGAATTAGAAAAACTTGAAAATATCCATCACTCTTTTTACAGGAGGCTGGTTAAATTAAGTATGATATTTCCATACAGTGGAATATTATATAGCTGTAAAAAAGAGAATGTTTCTTAGTTTTATTATAAAATATCTCTAATCTATATTTCTAAAAGAAAAAAAGCAAAGTGGAGAGGTGCATGCAGTTATGCTATATACATACACACATAGATGTGCATATATATATATATATGGTTTTTGCGTAAACTGTGAAGTATAAAATATATAAAACATATGAAAAGTGGTTATGTTGGATTAAGATGGGGATAAATGGGATAGATAGAAATAAAAATATAAGAAATAATTTATCTAAAAACATTGTATTTAGGTTTTTTGTTGATTTTGAACCATCTCGCTATATCATCTATTCTCAGATTAAAAGCAAACAAAACAGAAGGCCTTCATCAAATGAAAGAAATAGATGGTTATAACCATAACCTGAATAAGAACCTCAGGCACCTGAACAGATAAGTCAGTGCCTGTCCTTACAGAAATATCTCCACTGACCTCAAACTCTTCTGCAAAGAGAATGTCACTTCACAGTGAGATAAATGGAAGAAACAAATAAATCCTGACCCTAGATAGACAACCCATGAAGATGTAAAAGTGTGGACATCCAATTATGTATTTCCCCTGCTCAAGAACCCTGTCGTTACTTATATCGAGGTCCACTCTATTTATGATCTCACACTATCTTTCTGGCCTTACCTCCTATTACTATACTTCCGTCTAACAAAACTGGAGAATTCACACTGCCTTGGAATTCTCTGACACTCAATGTTTTTGTGCCTTGACACATTTCCTTCCTGTCCTTTGCAATGTTTCTCATCTTCCCAGTGCTAGATTTCCCTGAAAACTACACAAAAATTTCCTCCAAAACTGTCCAGAACTTCCTGAAAGTATGTGATCAGATGATATAACACCTACAAAATTCTCTAGTTTATGGCCCGGCAAATAACAGGAATGCAAAAATGCTGGATGAATTTCTGAACCCTAATAGAGCGTTCTCTGTATCTTCTTATGGTACTTGACAAATTTTATTTGCATCATAATTATTAAAATAATAGTCACTCTAGAGTACAAGCTTTTAGAAGGCAAATGTTGTGAGGAGTTGTCAAACATACAGTAGCTGTTGAAAAATATTTTTAAATTTAGTTTAATTAAAACTCATGTTTCAATGAGATCCGCCTTTAAATTAAAACTGTATTTTTATACAATTATGGAATTTGAAGAAGTTGGGAAATAATGATCATTTAAAATGGGACCATATGTGACTCTGTAGTAGAATTCTGAGGCTTTTGTCCTTTCTTCTGGGGAAAGCATTTTAATTTCCACATCAGGAGACTCCTGTTTTCAGCAGAGAGTCCAAATGCTGCACCCCAGTGCAGGAGTGGGCCTGTGAGTTAGGCATGGTCATGCAGGCTGTCTGCACCCACGTTCAGTAATTGTTCAGCTATGGTCATGTGATCCAATTTAGTCCTATCAGATCTAAATCTGACACTTTGCTGTGGTGATTGGGGAAAGGCGTTCTTTCCCCACAGTTTGTTGAAAGGATCAGTAGTAGCTTGACAATTTTGTGAGAGCTTCCACTAGAGAATGCTTACAGCACAGTGAAAAGAAGAGCTGAGGAATGAAAAAAAAGAAAACTACTCCTGATAATCCTGTGTGAGCTCCTGGATCCAGCCATTCCTGACTTTGTTGTCCTTGGACTTTTCACGCATAAAAGAATATCTATTTTGCCTAGGCTAATTAGAACTCATTTTCTATCATTTGCAAACAAAGAAGTTTTGCCCACTCTATGCTGAAATTTAGAATACTTACAAGGGCATTTTAAAGTCTAATTATGTAGCATTTATTGTACAGTGTAAAAAATATGCTTTTGGTATCCAAAGAATTAAATGCAGAGTGTTCAATAACTTTTAAAAATACAGCTATTAAAAACTAATTATGTTAAATAATTTCTAAGTGTATGGGAATATCAAAATTGCCTGAAAATGTAGTGCAATTATTTTTTTAATCATAATTGCAAGAAAGGTGCTTGCAATTATTATTCCTGCTGCAAGAAAGGTGTTTCTTTATTCAGGAATATCTTAAAGAAATGGATACATCACTGGGATAGATCCTTCATATGAGACACTTTCAGAAATTCTGTGTTTAAACATCACAGGCAGGACCAATGGTTAACAAAACACTCTCCCTCTAAAGTCTTCCCGCAACCATTTACCATGGCATCAGTATCCTCACTTGAGATCCAACATTTAGCTAATCCTTTGGGCCCTGTCTGCTGAAAGAACATATTGAAATTCCAC